AATATCAGAGTGCATCTTATAAATACTTTCGTATGCAAAAAAAATGAGTATAAAAGAAAGTTAATCATCCCGCAAAATAATCTTGATACATTCCACAGAGCAATGTTCTTCTTTTATCAAAGATATCGTCGAACTTACCTGTGCAAGTTGGTACCGGTTGGCGAGGGCGTGGAACTGCTACCACCCGGCGACTCCGGTCCATCATCCACCAAATCGCCCTCAACGGAACCAAAACCTTCGTAGCTCTCCTCTTCGTCGTGACAGCCGATTTTGATTGTGGCAGCATTGGCCGATGTGGCCTGATGATCGTCCGGGCTCGCGGAATACCGTCCCGAGTCTGTGAGAGTCGAACTGTCGAAATTATGCAGATCGACCGACATCGAGAGCGAGGGCGGCCCGCTCTGATTCCACTCTTGAGGGACGCCGACGCCGACGTCGACGCCGTTTGTCGCACGTCTCTCGTCTTCGCGCGACGTGTTCCCCGCGCCGTCGGCTACGCCGCTACCGTTAACGGTGGATGTGACGTTTACGATAGATGTACGAGAGCTCACCATCCTTGGACCCCGCAATGGGCCCCGACGGAGTATCCGCGCGTTGCAACGTGATGCATGCGCTACCAAAGGACACTCTTCTCATTTACCGCCACCGTCACCGTCGTTGTCGCCTGCCCCGTTGCTGAAACACCATTTATGAGTCAGACTTAAGGTATGCCAGGAGCGCGTCCGCTTTGAAAGTAACAAGCGGTGTGGTAGACGGGAAAGAAAGAGAAAGAGAGATGCAAGTCGAGTCGAGTCGTTGCCCGCGAGAACTTCTCTTCCCTCATTCTCTGACTGAGAAGTCGGGGTCGAGGTAAACTTGTATATGTATATGTATGCGCAATGTTTTTCACATAATTTAAATCGATCTTGAGAAAGAGAACGTTGCTACGTTGCTATCTTTTATTCAAGATAATGAGAGATGTAGAAGCAAAATGCGCGCACTGAGTTTGAAGTGCATCTTATTCTGCATTTTGCCGCATTCATTGATTGCATTCATTACATTCATCAGTTGTCAGTTTCTGGCAAAATTGTGTGATAAAATACGTACATTGAGAAAAAAATATAGTTAATTTTAATAAATAGTTCAATACTGCCAATTAAACATTTACTTACAGTAAGTAAATGTTAAGTAAATACTTGTTCAATAAAAAAAAGATTGTTAAATTAAATTAACATTTCTTGTAAATGTTCAAATAAATATATCTTTATATTTAATAAATATTTAATTGGCAGTATTCAACTAAATATTTATTAAAATTGATTATATTTTTTTTCAGTATAATATTTCAATATGTGTTATTGATTGTATGTTAATGAGATAATACAGCCATGTTGAATGAAACAACAGCGAGATTTTCCAATAAAGCTCGCGTCAATAATCGAGTAACATACGAAACTAAATTCACATTAAAACAAGTCAAATAAGATAGAAGTTCAAAAATTATATTCTAAATTTTATACTTCGTTATACTCTTCTCATAATAATCCTAACGAAAATTTTTCTTAAAATTTTTTATATAATTTTTCAGAATTTCTATATACATTTCTGAATTTTTCAAAATGTCTGTATAATTTTATAACTTTTTAGACAATTTCTATGTTTTTTTTTTGACGAATTGGGACACTTAAAAAATGTTGAGAAAGTCTAATTTTTTCTAGAATTTTTTTGTATACGTAAATTCTGAAATACTCAAATAATAAAATACATGGAAGTATTCTCTTCGATTTTGAGGAGCTTTTGGTATATGTTATCTAGAAACCAAAATAAAGAATATGTATTTTTTATATGTGCTTATACGCATTCTCTGCATATAAGATGAAATACTTGTTTGACAAAATCAGTTAATTTCTTTCAAAACGAATAGTGGAAATTAAGAGATGGAAAAAAAGTTCTAATAAAAGTTGAATAGTTTCAAGAGTTTCAAAGTTACTTTATAATCGTGATAAAAAATTCTGTTCAATTTTTCATGTTTTACAAATAATATTTTTATTTTTATTTAGAAAAAAATTTCTATTAAAAAAATTATCATTATAAAATACTTTTAAAGCTATTCAACTTTTATTTAAAAAAAATTTTTTTATTTCTTGTTTCGATGATGCTCACTTCAGAAAAAACAAACAGATTTTTGTCAAACGGTTTTAATTCTTTGAAATATTATGAAGAATACTAACAATAAAAATTTTTACTAGAGTAATTACCTGAAAATTCAAATTACCAAATCTCTCTTGACTACAAATTTCAACGCAAAGTAACACAATCCACGTGGATTGCAAAAATGCATTACAGTTCAATTTAATGTAAGGGAATCTGCCTGCTCCTTCGCAATCTTTCCTGCATATTGTTTGCTGACATCGACTAGTAAAGTTGATTCAACATTATCGCATCGCAGCATCATAAGCGTTGTGATCCAATTTCTACAATAATCACATCGCAACATCGCAAGCATTGCAGTTTAATCAAAGTCAAGCCTGATGTTGATCAGATTTGCTTGCGACACGTTTGCGACGCTACGATGTGATTATTGTAGAACCAGTTTGTGGGGTTCGTAATCATTATTGTAATGAAGTAAATACAGACATTGCCTGTCTGTATATATGTATGGAACGACGGCGAGATCCCTACAGTGATATCTGTAATTTTATTAAACGATTATTCTAGAGAAACAGAGTAGAGAAAAAGCGTGAGAAAACTGGCAAGAAGGTATATGGTGACGCTATCAGCGCTATGTAAATGCTGTTTCAAAAACACGATAATATTAGCAAGTTCTATAAACAACAAATGTAGTATCGATAGTATTCGTCGAGTTAGGTTAAAATGGAACATAAGATAATATTTTATAAAAAAGTATTTAAAGAGTATAAAATATCTAAGAGTATAAAATATATATTTTAATATAAATATATTTTAACAAAAAAAATTTTTAAATAACAAAGATAAAGTATTGGAATATTACGAAAGACTAGTAGCGCCTGACGAAACTTCCGGAGTTTTGTAGCGCCTTCATATTATTTCGGTCAATTACATGATTTTATAAATATTTAATTATAGTTTTTTTATTTAATTATAGTTATACGAATGACTCACAAACCATTTTAATGAGTTACTTCATAACTCTTCATATGAAATATAAATAATTCCGTATATAAGAAGTTCAATTTACCACCGATTAATTATTTGGTTAATATTAATTGATTAATATTAATATTAATTATTATAAGAGATACTTTTAATGATCTAGCGATTTTAAGTGCTCTTGTAAATTCTATGTGAATTTATATACTATTATATAGTCTATTAAATTGCGCATCGAAATAATTTTTCGGTCTTGAAACGCAAACTCCATTGAACTATAATACGCCGATATTGCATTACTCGCGGCAAAATTTTTATAAACTTTTAAAGAAAAGATCAGAAAACACACTATTCACTTCAAATCGTCACTCAGTGAAAAAATTGTAGCGTAATGATTAAAAATAATTTTAAAGAAAAAAATGTTAAACTTAACTTACAATTAAAGAAATTTTGTTTTGACTTTAAAATGCTTTTTCAAATATCACTTTGCAGAGATATGTGAAATTTGAATTTGATCTTTTTTAACGCTGATTTTAAATGACTTTTTAATTTTGTAGAGAAGGAAAAGACAAGATGGAATAATTAAAAGATCGTTTTTGCTTCATTATAACTTGGTTTAAAAAAATTATAGAACAGAGTTGAATAAAAAAGCAAATTAAGGATAAAATTCACTCTTTCAAATATAAATTGTCAACCGCCTTTATGTGCATTTTCTAAAGTACCGACCGGAAAAATTTCGAACTGTAAAATGCTCTTTTAAACATCTCGATATAATAATTTGTGATGAAGTTCTTCTATTTTGAAATTTGCCTATTTTTGCAATACGGAATAGATGATCCTTTAATTTTATTGAGAAGTATACTATATATTAAAATTAAAATCTTTAAGAAGTCACTGTAATTCCATGTTATAAAATGTTTAAAGTATATTTGATAATTTTTATGATTTTAAAGAATAGAAGCTGTAAATATAACAATCAATTGAAAGTATTAGGATCATTTTGCTTCTTGTGGGACCGATATAAAATTCTCAGGAGATGTGATTACAAAGAGTTAAGGATGTTCGATTGAGATTTTTGTCATTTATTTTATAATACATTTTCATATATTTTTATTAGAGCACAGATTAAAAAAATACTACTTAATTTTTATTGAAATAACTTATGATCCAGATGGCAAACCATCACAATTGTTATTTTTAAATGTGATTTAGAATAATCAGTAATTTTTACATAATTTTTCTATTATTTTGAAATATCTATCGAACATCCTTAAAATAATCATTTCTGCAACCGGTGTACTTGTTCAGTCAAGTACCTCCAAATACAATCGTCAAACTCCCATATATAAATTTTTTAATCACAAATTTTCATTGGTTTTCATTGTCTTCTGAGATGTATGTCCCAAAAATGGACAATTATTAATATGAAAATTTGCGATAAAACAATTTATATGAGAATTTGATGATCCTGAATACAATCACATTCGTTTTAGCTCTTATAAGGTGTCTGATGGATACGGCACGTGTAGTAAAAATGTCACGTGTAGTAACGCGACATTTTTTAGAAGGAAGTAGATTTTAGGGGCTTCTGAATTATTTCTGCGTTGATTAAATAAATCCAACTTCACTTGCAGAATCGCAAAAGTAAAATTATTTGATCAAAATTTTGAATTTGCTAAATGGACATTTTATCCTGTGAATCCCAGCAAACGAGAATGGATTGAAATGCAGTGACATGGATTCAGATTTTCAGAAATATTGATTCACGAATGTTAAAATGAATACTTTTCAATCCTGTGAATGCATTTTTATTCATTTATAGGAATTGCATGGAGCATATCTCTATATCTTTCAATCTAAAAATAATATTAGCTTTTTCTGTGCATTGTGAATACTGTTCAATTCAAAATTTTGAAGTAGGAAATGCAGTTTTTCAATCCAATTGCATCCAATTGAATCTAATTGAATCCAATCGAATCCAATTATATTTAAAAAAAAAAGTATTCGCTATTTAAAACGCATTTGGATAGAAAAAAATTTCAATCCATTTTAATCCATTCTCGTTTCCTGAGAACTATAAAGTCCCCTCCTTTTGAGTGCTTGGACTACACATCGTTTGAAATCCTTTCAGTCGAAGAAGAATTAAGATTTGAACAAAATTTGAAAATAAAGTTGCAATTATAGCCGGATTGAATGTAGAGATTCCTTTATTTGTCACGCTTATGGCTCCTGCACACAGAATCGGAAGGAAATTGACGCGAGAACCAATCAATTTGCTTTTCTATAAAAGCGAAAGAATGATTGGTTGAATGATTGCGCTAACTTCCACCGTGCAGCAAACGTTACCGCGTCCTGTCTATAGGAGCATTAAGCTACTTAGAGTATGTTACAAACGCGATGTTACAAACGCTTTGAAGCATTTTTTAATTGGTCAGTTTGTAAAATTTTTTCTTTTAATTGGTCCATCAAATACTTCAAATCATTTGTAACGAGACTTTGACCACAGTCCTACAGTGCTTACTAAGCACATCGAGATATGACCAGCGGTCTCCAGGCACTTGTCACTCGGAATGGAATGCGTAGATGCGTTTCGAATCACACCGAGCTGAGATTCCAGTCCGCCTATTTAGAGCAGACTCGAAAGTGTGAACAGAGAGCGGAGGATATATTTAACATGTACGAGTCTCCAATATCTAATCTTCGTTCTCTAACGGCATGGATATCACCAGTATTTCGCCTAATTTACATTTTGTTATCGTTCTTACCTGAAGCAAAACATTCGTCCATAAATCTGATTGATCCTCTAATTTTTCAATCTTTTTTTAGATCGATCGTTCCTGAAGAGTTCTTATATTACTTCCCGAAGTCATTTCGATTCGCTTTTATTTTTATATCACAATTTTACTTTTTTTATATTATTTACATTCGTTGTAAAATGAAATGTTTACTACACACTTTTGATATTTAGAATTATGTGTAACATCCAAACGAGAATGGATTGAAATGAATTGAAATGGATTCAGATTTTCAGAAATATTGATTCACGAATGTTAAAATGAATGCTTTTCAATCCTGAATGCATTTTTATTCATTTATAGGAATTGCATGGAGCATATTTCTATGCCTTTAAATCTAAAAATAATATTAGCTTTTTCTGTGTACACAAACACAATTGTGAATATTGTTCAATTCAAAATTTTGAATAGGAAATGCAGTTTTTCAATCCAATTGCATCCAATTGAATCTAATTGAATCCAATTGAATCCAATGAAATCCAAAAAAAGTGTTCGCTATTTAAAATACGCATTCGAAAAAAAATTTCAATCCATTTTAATCCATTCTCGGCATGCTGGGCAATAAAGCCTAATGCACTATTGAAAAGCACAGGCAATCTGGCAACAGGAAGAGAGAATACGAAATTTCAATTCATCATAGTAGAAACAATGCACGATTTTTCTGATAAGTTAAAATCTGTTAAGTTGTTTTCTGTTTTTATCATTGTGTTTTTCATTGTGTCTTAGGCTCAACTCTTGCCGATTAAAGACAATAAGTTTTGAGGTTTCTCTGATTTCACTCATAGATGATTAATTACTCCTAGTAATTAGGCGGAGTGACGCAATAGCAATATTAGTAATGCAATAAAATAAGTGATGTAATAAAAAAATCCTTTTTATTTTAATAAAATAATGTGTTTTTAACACACATTCGGTTTTCTTTTCAAGCAATTTCACAATCAAGAAATGAGCATGACGGTTAAAGGATTAGACGCTAGACTAGAGCCGAGCGAACACATTCTATTTTCAAACTGGACATGCTCGTATTGCACATACGTCGAAATCAACAACTACATATGTATACATATGTTACAAAAAGTGATTGGTTACGAGGACGATCGAAGGTCTGTACAATGAAATTTACAGTAACGGTGCGAGCAGTGCGCTGAACGCATACAATCACGCATTTATGTTCGCTCCTTTCAGATGTATTGTATAATGGCTATTTCTATCAATGCAGATCAATTTTTTAATCTTGGTCTTTTTCTAAAAATTAGAGAAAAAGATAAAGAGTAAGTTAAACCAAAATTTAAGTTAATCCATATTGGTAGAAATAGATGTAAAGGGGATAATATAATATAACGCTTTTCGATCAATTCGGAGTTGAGTTTTCGTCAATAAAAATAATATTCAGGTATCAATGAAAGACGATTCCTTTTGATGAATTTAAATTCATCAAGAAGAGAACTATCAATCAATTAATTAAAATGCAAATAATGAATATTTTCTTCTCTCGAATAAAAAGATACGTTGTCCTAAAAACTGGCGGTCGACATTTTTTCACCGAGAGAAATGTCAACTCCGAACTGACGGAGGAATTCCCCGGAATTTTTCCGTCTCACAGAATTCACACGCGGCGGTACCACTTCATGGGTACCACTTCAAGAGAGCAGACTTTCCGACGCGGAAGAAGACGCACGGAAGTTAGATTCCTGATCCTGAAACTTGACTCACCTCGCGCGTCGATTGCAGTACGACACAGTGCGACACAGCTAGCGGTAGACAGGTACGACCATGTACATCCACCGTTTGTAGAGCAGCAATGTGTATCCCGTTTGTTCGCTGAATCAACACACCTGTGCTCGCGCGACAACGTGTCATAGAACGCGACGTCTACTCGGGAAAGACCGATCAACCGAGGTGCGCGCGACCGAGATAACGGTGTGCGATCGGCGGCGAACTGAAAAGCATAGACGCGGACGCGGACGCGGAGTCGCGAGTCGCGAGTCACGACGCGAAAGCTACGGAGACGTGGAGCTCGAGGAAGTAGAACGTACGATTGTGGAGCCACACCGACTGATCGACGACAACGAGGGAGGACGCATGCGCACTCTGCGCGAAATTATCGTGCACTACTCACTAGCACCGATCGGTAGTGGTATAATATACATGAAACGTCGCAAGGACGCTGATGAACGCGTACTGACTGCTTGCGACAGGCGCACAGTGGTACACACAGGTGTGCGTCACTGCTGTATCCGTCAGGGCCAGATACGAGAGAAAGAGAGAGAGAGAGAGAGAGAGAGAGAGAGAGAGAGAGAGAGAGAGCACAGTGTCGCTCAACCGTGTCGCCGCGTCGCGGTAGCGATCTCGCTTAGAACCTAGGACAATCCGGTTGATGACCTACCTAGAGCTGTATAGCCTACCTAGCAAACGAGAAGGGAATTAAAATGGATTGAAATTTTTTTCTTATTTTTTATCCGATTGCGTATTTTAAATAGCGAATACTTTTTTTGGATTTAATTGGATTTAATTGGATTCAATTAAATTCAATTGGATGCAACTGGATTGAAAAACTGCATTCCTATTCAAAATTTTGAATTGAACAGTATTCACAATTGTGTTTGTGTACAGAAAAAGCTAATATTATTTTTAGATTTAAAGGCATAGAGATATGCTCCATGCAATTCCTATAAATGAATAAAAATGCATTCAGAATTGAAAAGCATTCATTTTAACATTCGTGAATCAATATTTCTGAAAATCTGAATTCATTTCAATTCATTTCAATCCATTCTCGTTTGCTGAGTATACATCCAATTGTATACGGGGTGTCTAGTAATTAACTGCCAACTTTTGTGAACAGGTGGAGTGGATTAAACTAAATAGAAAAGTTGCGCGGAAAAATCATGTGGATGCATCCTTATCCGCAAATCTTTATATTAGTTAACTTCTTATTAGTTTATGATTTATAAGAAAACTCGCAAAACAATAAAGGATTTTTCTATTCAGTTAAATCCGCTCTATCTATCAACGAAAAATGACACAGTAATTTCTAAACATCCTATATATAACACGCATGCACGCACTCACTAAAAACTAAATTTTAGCACCCACTAAATTTTAGCACAAACTTTTAATATTTTTTTAATAGTGTTAACTCAGCGAAAAATCTTCATATTGAAATGAACCAAAGCTCAAATAAAAGCTTGATAATCAGAGATTCAATTTACACAAAATGTATTAAAAAATAGCAAACATTAAAGAATGTTCAAGTTTTAATTTGATTTGGTTCATCTCAATATCCTGATTTTTCGAAAGTTATTGCTATTGAAAAATATAAATATTTGTACTAAAATTTAATAGCCCGTTTTTTTATACGATGAGTTGTTTATCAGGTTTTTTTTTCATACAGATATTTTTAACAGTTTCAGTAACTCGTGTCAATCGGTGTTGCGTGAGGAAAAAAAATTGTAAAATATTTCGGCTTCTAAAGATTTTGTGGTCGCTCTTTGAGAAATAAAGATTTTTCATTTTTACTAGATGTTACAAAAACACGTGCCAAATTTTAAAGACGTATTCTATTTAGTAAAGATGGAAACAAGTCATATGAATATAAATTTGGAAATACTTCCTTTCGAAAATGTTTTTTATTTGCAGCATAAATTTTTAATAATGTTGTTTAACAAAAATGTTTTTGTTTATGATACTCCTATCGCTATTGTGAGTTTCTCAAAATTCTATTATCGCTTCACGTGAAAATTTGAAATATTTTTAAAATTTCTTAACATCTTTTCGATAAACTTTCCGTAAACTTTTGATGCAAAGCATTGCTGCAGAAATTTCTAACAATTTCTTTAGCAAAATGTTTTTGCTTATTTCTGTCATAAATAAAAAATATTTAACTCGGAAAGAAAGTATTTCCGCACGGAGAGAAAAAATTTTGGCAATTATAAATTAACAATTCTAAAATTTAAGTTGCAATTAGTTTTATCAAAAGTTTACAAAGTAATAAGAATGAAGAAGTATTCAGTACTACTTTAGTTCTTATTACTTTGTAAAATTAGTTAATACTTAAATTTAGAGTTGTTAATTTATAGTGTTACCAAAACTATTTTTTTTTCTCAATGCGGACTCATGTTCATATTACTTTTTGTTTCACCATCCGTATTGTGACTATACGCTCTAAAATTTGGCCAGATATTTCTAAAACATCCTGTATATTTACATAAAATGAGTACTCTTTATTCCTTAAAAAATCGTTTTAAACGAAAAACTTTGAGGCTCCCGCTTCTTCTACAGTCACACAAGATGCGTTCAGGAATTTAAGATACATCATTTTATCCTTGTTGTTCATCGAATGTTAAAGAAGAATAAAATGATATCTCGATATATTCGAGTGAAGTTTTTAAACGTAGTCCTAAATTATGGCATTAAACGACGGCGTGTAAAAAAAAGTCAATTTAACTTTGGTATCGGCATATACATGAGCATTAAGAAAAATTCACATGACTCGTTTTTAACATCGCGACATGATATCATTACAGCGAGAAAAAGGAGTCTCAAGAGTTAACTTAGCGCAGTTAAGTCTTCGCTGTTGACTCGTCGTCGGTAGCTTTATTGTAGACCTCCTTGTAAACGAGCTCTTGCATCTGCATCCTGAGCAGCATCCTGCGGTCGGCCGGTAGGGTACGGATATGCGGTAATAGGCTCATCAGAAAATAGTAATTATCATCGAAACGACAACTACCCTCGAGCGGATCAACGCCGGCGAGACCGGTGTCACTGTCACTCATCAAGACCTGCTCAGGCGAAATATTCTGCAGCATCATCTCGTTTTCCGCCAAGTTGTCGGTGACGTTTTGAAACTCCAAGTTGTCGAAGCTCTCTTCGGGTTCGCGCTTTACGTCCACTGTGCCACGTCGACCGTCACCACCGTCCAGCTTATGCTGATGATGGTGACGATGGTGGTGGTGATGATGATGATTGATATTACCGTCGCCAGCCATCGACAACAGATGATCGGCGATTGTGTCTCGATCGTCGAGGCCGCCGTCGATGCTTGGAGTCAGCATGCCATTCTCACCTTCGCCCTCGCTTGGCTGCAGCTCGTCTTCCGTTTTCGGGATGCTGCGCTCCCAGATCGGCGGCCGCGGCAGCATTTGCTCCTTGAGGAATTGCAAACTTTTGAAGTGTATCCATACTGGCCGGTTCCGATGAAACTTGCTCTTGCGGTACACTTGATCCTTTTTTAACTCAGCACGGAATGTATCACGCAGGCCTTTCCATTTTGCTTTCAGCATCGGTTCTGTAAATAGATAAACAAAAACTTATTCAATGATGTTGCAGATGCAACAACATGTTAAGCATATGCAGCCAGTTCACTTTGCAAGTGGAGAATCAATAATTCGTCAGTACTTTAAAAGAATGCTGGAGCGATGGCCGAACTTGATGTCAGTAATCTATGATACAGATTTTTTAACTCCAAAATCATCCAGAGAACAATATATACAAAATGCAGACATAAGACATCCTGATCGAAGATATTATCAAGATATCTTTCAGACATTATGTCGTAGAGATGTCCTGAAGACGTCTGTAAGATATATGTGTAAGATCACTTGATCTTTAGACATCGACATGTCTAACAATTCTTACAATTACATAATTTGCATTGAAGATGATATTTGTAATAGAATGGAGATATACTTTCCTTAATAAAAATCTGTTTTATCAATATCAAGTTCTTTCCAGTATTCTCTTAAATGCAGTATTAAGATGCCATAAATCAATCAGAAGGCTATATTAATATCTTAAGATGGTCTTAAAATAAGAACGGACTATAAATATTGCCCTGCGAATGCTACTGACACTATGCTTGTGGCTTGTTATTCATGGAGCTTGCTAACATTATTGCGTTATTGGTTCTACCAACAGCGTTGGTAGTGTTATTTGTTCGTAGTGCTGATAGCATCCCCCGAACGCACCCTTAGTGTTGAAATCAAAAAGCGTTAACGCTGCGCTAGTTCAGTGCTGTTGGAACTGGTAGTAGCTATCTTAGCTCCCCGAACAGATGATCGAGTTCGCAGCATTTGTGTTTACCGCGTGACAGTGAGCTTCCCGAACGCATCTTTGAAATGATCCCAGTAATTTTTCATACATCATCAATATGTCATCGTTTTCATTTCCATTCCAACTGCCTCACCTTGGTGAATTGGCTGGAGAGTTCACGTAGAGATTGTAGCATCGGAACAATAATAAACCAATCCAAGCATATCGTTTAGAGTGTAGTATTCAGAGCATTTGGAAGAAACAAGCAACCTTGATAACACAACTGTATGTATATTCATGGTTGCAACAATAAAAGATTGTAACACTTTCCTTTTCGATTAGTTTCAGAATGCAGCCTACTCACCGAGTGATTAATTTTTCTTATTTATGGATCCATAATGATAAGATCTATGATATACAAAGAGACCGCGTATTGATTACACTCGTGCGCGCGCATCGATGCATCCTTATTCTGCGCATGTCCTCAACAGAACGATTTGTGCATGTGCGTGTATTCACGTTGGTTCACCGTTTACGGTTCAATTAATATTACGATCGAAGCACGATAAGAAATCTCGTTTCGGTCGTGCACTAGAATACCTCAGGTAAGATGTCCCCCATAATATATCGTGCGGCATTGACATAATCATTCGTGACATACTTCGCGCCAGTTCGCGCGTGGAATGAGGTTAGGACGATGCACGTTATGTCAACACGTCAAATAAACATACATGAAACTTGCGAATCTCAAGAACTGTACTTTAAAATAGCAGAAATTGTACTTTAGAATAACATAAAAACAGCATGAATCTCTAGAATAAAAATAATTCGTCAAATCAAATATAAAATTTTTAATTCGCATCTACGACGAACTTCACAAGGTGCAGAATTTCGTTTTGAAACCTGCGCTTCCGGGCAAGGAAATCCGCTTCGTGTCTTTAAATTTAGATGATAGCGAGATAGATCGACGAGTCGGAGAGAATAATATTTCATTTTGAGATGTATGGCGATAGAATGTTATAATTTAGAATATTAGCCTAACATTTGTTGTCGAAAAAGAGATGCACAGTCTTCTGTATTTGCTTTTTCGACGGAGTAGAGTATGAAATGTCAAAATTGCGTTGAGAGACTTTTTTAAGTATTAAAGCAACTATATAATAAAAAATTGTAATATCGAGATACTTTTTAAAAAAATTCGGCCAAAAACATTTTGCCGAAGATTAATTCAGACATCACCAAATGGATCCTTACTTTCTCTCTCATTTTGTAGATTTTTTTTGACATGGGAAAGGCATTATTTTAGTCGTTTATTTAAAGCGCGTTAATATTTACGTAAAATGAAAATAAGGATTCGAACGCCGCGTTTCTCCAAGACGACCGAGTCAGAATAGGCAATTTTAAGGATTCATAAGTCATTCATGAGATGAGCTACTGCCGTATCCTTCTCGATCTGACAACTTGCTCGTTCGGCAGACTTGTTTCCATGCCACGATCATCGCGATCGCGTAAAGGATATATTTATCCTTGCCAAAGGAGAAGAACCAAGAGGAACGGTCTGACACAAGTAGGCGACGCATGGGCGAAAGACGACTGGCGTCTGGGCAGCTTAGGGCATTTGCGTCGCTGGCGAGCGATTACTTATCGCGGCCCGGTCCTGCGGTACCAATCGGGGATAGGGTGTTTACATGACACGTACTGGGCAGATTGAATATCGCTGCGATCTCCATCCAGACGCGGTTGGTCACCTCGCGATTATGGTAGGAGATGTGCCTTTGATTCCAGAGCGCCGGCCGTTTGTAGACCTCGGCGATCAGCCGATTCGCATCCATCTTCACCTCGTCCCTCATACTTTCTTCGCCTCCTCGTCGTCGTCTTCTTCTTCTTTTCGCCAACTCGCACTACCCCCGCGGATGGGGAAGCTCGTAACGATGGCGAGTCAGGCGAGTGGCGGACCGATGAGAACAAAGTACGGGCGAATACTAGCGCTGGGATAGCGATTAGCGCGCAGGTCGCTGGCGGATAACGATCGATTTGCGTTTCGCCCTCGTCTCGCCTCGCTAGCGCTAGCGGCCGCGCTCTTCCCAAGTACCTTACCTCCTCGCCACCCTCGCCCTCGCTCGCGGCCTCGCCCTTAACATTTTGCCTCGCGCAAGCGAATAGAATGACCGAAAGGACTGATATCTCTTATTCGCCTCGTCCTTCTATATGTTTAATACGTTTATGTGTGATCAGCGAATAAAGCGCCTAGATCAGCCCAGTTAGCCCAAATCAATGATCGAATGTCTTAGATACATTTTATTTTTTGGATTCTATTCTAAAACTTTTGAAATGAATTGTCACTCTAAAAAATATATGACATGTTACTCTTATATCCGTTTTTACCAAATATGATAATGTAAATTAACTTTAAGGTTCCTGAGTTGCCACGGCCATACTGAATCGAGTTAGTTAAATCGAGATTAAAGTTAAACTACATTGATAAAAATGGGCATTAAAGATTGAAAATTGAGCTCAATTCTTCAAGTTCTTCACTGACTCAATTTTCACTCTTTAGAGTCTGATTCCACTTCAAAACATTTAGAGAGTGTGTGTATGCATGCAGCTTCGTTGATAACTACGCTAAATATTTTATTCGCGGATCGCTTGATCATGAAGACTCATTACGTAGATTGCAATAAGTAAATCGATCTGTTCACGAATATAATGCGCGAATGTAATATTTGCGCATCTAATGGACATGTGCGTGCACATTGTCTACAATCTTCGTGATAATGAAGAATTTCACTTCTAGCGTGAATAAGAACTCTCTTCCTTCAAACTCGATTGTTTCATTTTTTAGAGCTCGTTTCAATAACGTAAATATAGAAATAAAATATTTGCAGACGCAATATTCGCGTTTCGACTGATATGGTGCATCTCCAGTAATCATAATGAAAGACTCGGAGTTAATAGTACAAGGAGCAGAGGCACGTCTCTATAAGGGAATCTATTTAGGAAGGACATGCATGATGAAGGAGAGATTCGTAAAGAATTACCGACACCCAGAGCTAGACGCTCGTCTCACCAAGGATCGCATCAGAGCCGAGGCTCGCGCCATTATCCGGGCGAAATCCGCAGGTAAAAACGCACGACGCATCGAAGTACATAATCGGTAGAAGAATATGGACTCGCATTCATTACTTTCATTTATTCTCGTTCAATAATGTAATCTATCTGTTCTGTTCTTAAGGAATAGCAACGCCGGCTTTATATTTAGTAGACTTGGAGCGACGCAGAATTTACATGGAATACATAGAAAACGCCACAGTACTGAAAAACTTCATAGATGAGAATATTTCGGGAAAAATAGATGTGGTTCATTTGTTAGATTTCATAGGACGTGGACTGGGCACAGTGATAGCTAAGTTGCACTCGAAGCATATTATCCATGGCGATTTGACCACATCAAATATATTGCTCAAGAACAACTCAATCGAGTCATTCTACAACAATCCATCAGGAGGTAAACTTTTCGCGGTGGCATTTCTCTTCGCGCATAATAAATTTTGTTTAATGTCGCTTTAAATCACGAATGCGATAAACGATAAATAAACTTTATCATAATTATCATATTTAATTGTAAATCGAATTATTGCTGACAAATTTGCTTTGCACTGAAAAGGAGTTCTAATATTTATTATATTTGAAAAAAATTTAGTATCTTTTGTACATATCTATTATAGAAGATTCCATTATTTCCATTATTTCTTTATAAATGACGATATCTATCTATCTGTGTATGTGTGGTTTGCACGCACGCACACGCACACACGCACGCACGCACGCGCGCGCACACACACACACACACACACACACACACACACACACATATATATTAGGTGTAGTAAAAAAAAATTCATTATTTTTCCATTCAATTTCATGCAAAAATAATGGATTTCTTTTTACTACATCTAATATGTATAATATACATATTTATAAAATGATATTCCTTTGCAGCCGAGGCACAGTTTGTAATGATTGACTTTGGATTGGCTCGAGTGGATTCCACACTAGAAGATAAAGCCGTCGATCTATATGTTCTCGAGCGATCGCTACTTAACGCGCATTGCGAGGTGCCGGAGTTGTTTTCTCGTGTTTTTCATTATTATCAACAGCATTATCAAAATAAAAAGCAATATGAGCAAATACTCGCTAAATACAAACAGGTACAAGCGCGAGGACGTAAGCGCTTGATGGTAGGCTAAAACAATGGAAACGCCGCTGAAATTTATATTGTAAAGTTCTAAGGAAAATATGAATCATACAAATGTATTTTTATAGTATTACGAAACGTTTTTTAGTAGAGATTAATTCAAGCGAGAACGAAACAAACAAGTTTTGCAAAAAAATTCGATTGCAAAAATTAAAGTGGTTAAAATTATACAAGATACATAGTTTGAGAAGGTAAGAAGATCTTTCTTTTCTTTATACACAGATAAATCATATTTGTATGTAATAATATGTAACAGTAAACGAAAAAAATCAATATATAACAGTATCTATTGTGAAGGAGACTATTGTATATGTATAATGAATTTGGCAGCAGCGATGATCCGTATGAAAAAGCTATTGCTCTTTATCTGTGATCTTGTTGAGTATATCAGTCAAAATGCAATCCTGAATATATAATAATCCAAGTCACCTATTGACAAACAACAGCAATAAAGTACAGGATGAAAGAGGAAGAGAGAAAAGGAAAAAGATGATCTGATCACTTACCAGAAACCCAGCGAATGAGGTCATAAATCCTTCTTTCGTCAATTCCCATATACCACCGTACTCTTCCTCGTCAATTTGTTGAAAATTACTAAAGTATAAATATGTAATTCCTGCATTGACTACAACAAATCTGAAATATAAACACATAGCAATGTGTTTGGTAAGATTATATTGTGATTTGAGATTACATATTAAAAAGAGAGCAAATAGTCTAGTTGGTGTCTCTATACTTACAACAATAAAGCTATAAAACCTTTTAGTGGTATAAGGCCCCATCCTATGCCAACGATAATACCAATCGCCTGTCTCGCCCAGTATATTACATCGAGAAATTCTTCCTGCAACAAAAAGGAATGAAAAGATATAGAAATGACAAATCAGAAATAATTTCCGCTTCATGGATTCCTTTTCCCTTTGGATAGAATAGGATACTAGTAATACTATGACACGATGACTCATGGGTTATGTTTACCTTGTCCGGCCACTCGGAGTTCGCGGTAATCGCACGTGTCCATACGGTAACCTCGTACTTGGCTCCGTTTCCATTCTTCTCCGTCCTCATACGCGACATCTCGGAAAGCTCGCGGTTACACGTCAATCGTTGAAATGATTACGCGAGCATCAGCGCGCGAGCAGCCGAGCTGGCTACAATCTACAATACACATACAATATGTCAAATATATGTATCATAATGTAAAACAGATATGTCCAACTTCAGCTCCGAAATCGAAACGCAAGATCATCAACATAAAGAAAATAAATGTGGTTAAGATTTCGGAGATTGAATGCTGCGTATCAACACTTCACAGTCATCGAAATCTTAAATGTATTCAATTTTTTTTGCATCAACAACAGCCCTGTATAGAGATCCGCTAGAGGTAGAGATCAAACAAAAAGTTTGTTCATGTCGCATGCTCCAACATGCTCCAACATGCTCCAACACAGCGGAGTCTCGCATCCACTTTCACAATAAATGACAGAACCAATCACGAAGTAGCCGGCATTGTTTGATCTCTATCTAGAGAATCTATACTTCAGTATGGTGATTGAAACCATGGTGATAGTTGAAATTGAGACTGAGGCGTGAAATGGCGTGATAACGCGATACAGGATGCATAAGATAGATACGATTAGCGCGTTGCGCGAAGCTACGGAGCCTGGCGTGATAACGCGAAGTATGCTTGTTTCTCTAGCGATAGATCAGGGACCAAAGAAAGAAGGCGGCAGACTGTTTGTTCAAGACGGAATCGAACTGGACAAATTGGAGGAAATTCGAATCGAGTTTCTGAGTAAGTAAAAGCCATGCATATTCAATTGTTATGGGTGCCTTTCATTTAGTGATACGAGTATCATTTTGTCTTTTACAACATTTACACGGCCCGACGTCATTTTCGTCTGATGTTTTATCATCTTTGTTTAATATTAGCAACAAGGATATAATGATTCACTGTATTACACTGTGTCATTTTTGTGTCTCTTGTTGGAAAGCACCTAATGGCAATAGTGAGGCTGTAATGCGTCTACAATACATGGAATAAGAAAAATAATGGACTTTCTACATAGCCATGAATCAGAAGTCAGAAGTTAAAAATTGACCAATCACAGTTGTCAATTTTTAACTTCTGACTTCTGATTTATGACTAATGGCTTATTGTAGAACGTCTATAAGAAATTCACCAATTACAGTCAATTATTCTTCTTGCATTCGACTGCGATTGGTCAATTTCTTATTCTTATTCCTCCATGTATTATAAACGATACATTAGAGGCGTAAAAATCGACTAATCATAGTTGATTATCTTTCTCATATTCGACTATGATTGGTTGATTTCTATGCCTACTTCTTAATCCACTACTGCTACTGTTCATTGTAGAATGCTTTACAGATTTATCCACTACTGCTATTGCCATTGTAAACCATGTATAAAGGGCCGCGCACACACTTTCTGTAACAATAATCGTATTAGCCAACAGTCAAGGATTTTCAAATACTTTCAGCTCTGATTGATCAACTCTTAGGGTACATCTACACAAACTTACTTAAGCGCATAAATGAATGCATAAAGAAAATTATTTAATCACATTTTACGTGCGACTTTATAAGAGAAATATGATTGGATACTTTTCTTAATGCTCGTTTGTGCGGCTGTGCAAGTTTGTGTGATTATACCCATATGGTAGAAAGGATATATAGAAAGTATATGCATGGCCCCTAAACTATTTTACGACTAAGACTAATATTTTATATGCATCGTTTTGCAGAGATTTTAAATATCGATCACCTCTGGTTGTTGAAAAGTCTAGTTAAACTATCACTGTCTCATAATGTTATTCAAAGAATCGAAAATCTGGACGAGCTTTGCCACTTGAAGGAACTGAATCTTTCGTTTAATAACATCAAAATTATGGAAAACTTGAATAATCTACATCAGCTAGAAATTTTGCTTTTATATAGTAACGAGATCTCAATCGTACAGAATATAAGCGATTTAAAGAAGCTGATCATTTTGAACATTGGTAAAAACAAGATCGATGACTGGGAGCATGTATGATATATGATTATATAAGTATCTTGTATATTTACGCGCTTCTTTGATCGTTCAATTTCATATTTAAAATTGTTTTATACATAAATCTGATCTTAGATAGTCTTTTTATAATCCTATTTTATATATATATATATCAATGAAATAACTGTGTGGCATCTCGAGATTGTCCTTAAGATTTTAAATGTAAGATTGATTTATAAATACTGCCTTCTATCATTGATGAAGTTCCATTGACATTCCAAGGTTGTATATCTCCATGACTTTAAATCGCTCAAAAGTTTAAACACATGCGATAATCCTTGTACAAAGATAGACGGATACTTGGACTATTTGTTCGCATTTATGCCTCAATTGACATATTGTCAATATAAAATGATATCCGAAAACGAGCGTCAATCTGCCATCGATAAGCATTAGTGATTATTAATTTTACTATATAAAAGAGAACTTTTCAAATACTTTGTGTAAATTAATAATTACATTGTTTTATTTCTATAGTCGTATAATTAGTAATCTCAAAGAAAACGAGGCAAAAATACAAACAGAATTGGAGTTGCAACAAGAATTTGAAAATAAAACCTTATTACTATTTGCATCATACGTGGAGCATCTTGATGAAGATTATTTGTTCCAACAAATATTTTCTTCTGATAAAGGTAGATTTACATCTCATATCTTACTGTTGTTTATAAAATATAATTTATTTAAACGTGCAAGTAGCAGGTAGAACGTTATCCACGATAAATGAAAATACACAAAATGCATTCGAGGAGTACAAAAAGTCTTTCGTTGCAATATGTCACGAATTATGTGAACTAGGTTTACAAGAGAATGATAGAAGAACGGAGGAAATAAGATTATTTGAAACTGCTGTTAATGAAGGCAAGACAAATATGCAAAATGAAGCAAGAAGGTAAAGACAAAACAATTATAAGAATTAAAGTGGGAATCCACTTATAAAACTGTGATTTTAATTATTAATGTGATAATGTCTACATTACTTATCATCAACATCTTTCTTTATTTTAAGAATTGTGAATAAAGTACTTGAAAAAAGGACAACGATATTTGCAAATATAAAAGATGAGATGGAAACTTTGGTAAAAAAACAAGAGCAAGAAGTTGAGAGTGTCATCGCAAAAACAAGAGAACTGTTTAATGAATTCAATGATTTATTGTCCAAGACACAAAATCAGTTAATGTCTAAAGAAATTATACTGCATGAGCAAATAGTGGTACGTGATATATGATATTTAATTTATAAAAAAAAACTATAAAAATTATATTATTCAAAAGGATGATTTGTTTTTTGTAAAAAAAAGGATATAAACGAAGTATTCAGGATGAATATAACAGCTATGGTCAACTCGTTCCTAGAAACTGCACGAGAAAACTTTTCGTTATTACGAAATGCAGAGAAAGAATATAATAACATAATTGAATTAGTTTTACAATCTCTAAGTGATTTTGAGAACGAGGCATTTCTTAAGGATCTGTGCTGCGATAATGATACTTTGGCTACTATTCTTACTGCCTCGTATGAAACACACTTACAAGTAAATATTTATTATTATTACTATTAAGTTTAATCTTAAATGGAGTATAAGTTTCTTTAAGATAAGGGAAAAGCTTAAATCGATGTTTTATCCAGTTCCTTGCGAGAATTTCATATTTCAATTAATTTTTTACGGGAATTGAATATTAGCCCACTATCCAACTCTTTTTAAAGAGTAATAAATAAATATTTATTATTAAACATTATTAAAATAATTAGCAACTATTATAGTTAACAATCTATAGGTGATAGATAATCGAGAGAAGCACATGATAAATCGACTCAATAATTGGCTTAAAGAGTATATCAATCGATTATTTGCGTAAGTATAAACTATCATTTCGGTAAAATTTATAATTCTCGTTTGCGTTTTATACAGAATTTTAATAAATAGGGATGAGAATAAAAGGAATCGTCAACAAATAGTGGAAATATCGCATTTTTTTGAATATCAACATCAACAACTTAATTTGATAAGCTCACCACAACAGTTAGGCTTGGCAGGCATTGATCTCGATGATGACGATATATTGGAAAATTAATGATTAATATAATGCAACGTTTTACCTCTTATGTTAGTACGAAAATAAAGTTCAAGAAATAGATTCAAATGTGACATTTGTTAATGCATAGTATGAAAATATATATTCTGATATAAAATATACCTCTATAAAATATATATTAGAATGACACCCAATGGGACAGGTTACGATTGAATACCGCTCAATTAGATCCATACAAGTGGATACAGCATGACTTGACAAGAGATAAGTGACAATACGAGAAAAGAAGAAAGGGCGCACCAAGATTCAAATTCATCGAGGCTTGATTTCCTCCATATTGATAAACTTCCGTCTTACTGTCGAGCCACACAGTCCTAATACTGATACCTCTCTGTTGTGTCTATTTCTTTTAAATTTCTTATAAAAATTTGACACAACACAATTTGATATCATACGATTGGACACCGCACGATTGGATACTGCACAATTGGACACCGTATAATTCCACCGTATAATTTGATACCGCATAATTTAGCACTGCAACTTGACATTAAACAATTCAATACACTCTTGTCTTGGACATGGTGGCTGCTGTTTGCCCAATAAAAATATTGCCCTAAATTGTATAAAGGAACCTAGGAATCGATTGTTCATCTTGAAATAAGGTGAAAATTACAAAAGTGAGCGAATTCTAGATATTGACCAATTAAATTAAGTGCATTTAAAACAGATTAATCAAATGAAAGAGCTTACTGAACATTCAGTAAACTCTTTCATTTGATTGATCTGTATTTTAGAATCTAATATGCTAATCAGATGAAAAAGTTCTCTGAGTGCTCAATGAGCGGTTGTCATTCTGAATGTATCCAATAGTCGCGTTAAGTAGACTCAATTGTTGCGGATCCATAAGCGCTCGCTGCTATTGGATGCTCTAGAAGAATACTCCAATAGCAGTGAGCGGATCCGCTTCGAAACAGTTGAGTCTGCTGGGGGTCGATTCTGTATCTTCAAACAAAAAGTTTAACTATATATTTATTTATTAGATTTTGAGGCCTGTCAAGCATTGATCAGAACATTTTTCACTTTTCACTTTTCAAGCTAGGAAAAAAATTTCATGATTGATATCCAGGAAAATAAGCATCGTGTGTCACAAGCTTTAAATTAAAAAATACAAAAATTAAGCATTTGTACAATATTTCTTTTAATTTATAAATAAACTATTTACAATTAAAAAATTGATTTATATATTTTACGACTTTATTTTTCCAGATAAAGTATGTTTATACAAATACATGAATTTGAAAAGAGCCGCGTCTTGTGTCAAGATGGAGGCAAGTTTGCGCCGTTTGCGATAGAGACCCTAATTTGTAAAGTCTCTAATTTGCGATACTTTATAAATATAGTGACTTTAGGGACGGCTGATCACCCTATTTATAGGTATACTAATTGCAAGTGGGCGCGAGTTTGTATCACTGAGTCACAGCTCGTGTCTTCCTCGAGGAATAGAGATAGAGACGAACAATCAAGGAATTCCAATGTTGTGTCGCGTGCTCTATCTACGCCTGGTTAGCAAAGAACCGAACAGATCCATTTTGTATTTGCCCAGCCACTCGGTCGTACATCGAGCTTAACCGCAACGGGTCCGCTAGCGGTGCAAACGCGCCAATGTGACGATTTAATGGCGAAATCTGTTACGTTCCGGGCGCCACAGCCGAGGAGATACATGTAATCTTACATACAAGCATTTCTTTGATGCTTTCCGGTAAGCGACACAGTGATCATGTCATCTATATTTAATATTAGCACACAACATTGATTTATTGTGTTGCATTGTGTCTCTTGCCGAAAAGCTCTCCATGTCCTACTTGTATCACTTGTTCTCAGAACTTTTTAAATAAGCAAAATGTAGTGTTCTAATAGAAACTGACACATAAACACATATTAACCTCGCTATGTACTGTCCATGTGTTTTACTAGATTGTGTTTATGGATCTGTTTTTTTTTTAACTTTTGGTCAAGTCGTCTTTTTTTTTCTTTCAATATGAAAAGGTGAAAAAAGATAACCATTCAGTTAAAAAATTCAGTTAAAAAGACCTGGCCTGTGTTTCCTATATCAACATCTTTCTGTCTTATATCAATCATATACAGTCAAGTAAATGTATCAAATATGACAAATCACACACACATACAATATACACACCCACATATATATATATATATATATATATATATATGTTTATTGCAATAACTAATTTTGTCATACATATTCCAATAAATTTGTACATATGTGACTTGTATACATACTTGATAAGCTTGCTTAAATGTATGTGACTTACAGATGAAGCTGCTCGGCTGGAGATTAGTAGAGAGGTTTATTAATGAAACGGCATGCTTGTAAGAGTCTGGCCGCACATCGCCACGTGGGATGAATGAAGAAGAATTGTTAAAACGGTCTGCTGCAGAGCGTGATAGGATTTTCAGTTGCTATGATCGTGGTAGGGAGGGTGCTGAGATTGATCCTTGGGAGGATCCTGCTTACGAAGTTTATCATACTACAGATAGATATGGATTTATACAGTATGTACATAAGTTTTATTTAGAATTTAGTTATTTAGAATTTGATCGTATACAAAGTATAACCTTTAGTGCCATCTGAAATAATTGTTTCTCTTGTTACAGCGATAAGAGGTTACCACAGAAACGGGATGCGTTTGAAGTCAAGTTGCACCACGTGGAGATGGAGAGATTGAAGAAATGGGAGAAAATGACGAAACAATGGGACAGTGCCTCGACAAAGGAAAAATTGCGCCGCAGAATATACAAAGGAATTCCTAACAGATTTCGTGGTCAAGTATGGACTCTACTTTTAGGAATAAAGAATCTGAAGAAGGAGCAGGCGGGCAAGTATGAAGAGATGTTACAATTGGCTCGCCAATGGTCCACAGAGATACGACAGATTGATGCCGATGTTGCCAGACAATACAGAGATCATATTAATTATAGGTGTGATACTGTAGAAATTGAACGTTCGTTCTTTATTATATGAGTTATGTATTTAAAAAAAGTTGAAAAACAATAATAATTTTTTTAGAGAGAGATATAGCATAAAACAAAAGTCTATGTTTTACGTACTGGCTGCCTACAGTATGTACAACATGGAGGTAGGATATTGCCAAGGAATGTCCGTGCTAGCCGGTTTGCTGCTGCTTTACATGGATGAGGAAGACGCTTTCTGGGGCCTTTCTGTGTTGCTTGCCGATCAAAAATACAGCATGCACGGTTGGATTTTTTTTTTCATTTTAAAATAAAATTATTTAGTGACACATTTTTTAATGGCATATCATGCTCTCTTAAAAAAAATATATATACACACACACACACACACACACACACACACACACACACATATATATATATCAAAGAATTTAAATTTTATTGTCTATAGATTTTTAAATATGAATTAATATGTTAGAATAGAAAATCATTTAACAAAATTTATTTGCGGGTTTCTATATAAATTAATCATATAAATAGAAAAAAAATACAATGTAAGTTTTAAATGTTAAAGGCTAATCATATTTATGAACCTCTGGACAAGATTAGCATTTATTGATATATTTAAGTCTTTATGTACAATACATTTTACAGGTTTTTACGTCGATGGATTTCCCAAATTAAACCGCTTCATAGAGCACCATGACAAGATAATGAACAAATGTTTGCCGAAACTAAAACGGAAAATGGATAAGTGCGGTTGCGATTCTATACTCTATGCATTGAAGTGGTTCTTCGTTGTTTTTCAAGAGAGAGTAGGCTTTCTTCTTTATTTCTTCTTAGATTTGCATCTCTTGAAACAGATCAATTAAGTATCAGCAATGTTAATCTATATTTTGTAGACTCCCGTTAGTCTCGGTCTCCGTATCTGGGACATATTTCTGTTGGATGGTGATCGCATGTTATCAACAATGGCATATACTGTTATGAAGCTGCATAAGCGCTATTTGATGCCAATGGAAAGTCTTGATGAATTTTGCAACTATCTACAAATTAAGCTGGAGAAGGATTTTTGCTTTGATGACGACACCGTGATAAGTACGATGGAGCGCAGCATGGAAGAATTAAAGCGTGCCAAATTAGACTATCCAGGTGCTCCGTTGCCACACGAACTACCCCGTTATCCGTTTGGCACTTTCCAGGAGCCTACTTTTACCAGCAAGGTATTGCTAGAATGCCATCCTTTGGCTCTTTATCTATTGTGCCTATTGGCACTAGATGCAATAGATGCAATACTTATGTCATATCCCTTGAATATTGATAAAAATTCGTACACATGTGTTTTCTTCATACCAAGTGATTATGTTGTCTATAAAAGTATTACGATATGATTAATGGTTTACAAAATATATATTTAATAATATATTTTGCTTATAAATAAACATTTTCAATTCAAAAAAATATTTCATTCATCTAAAAATAAAAAAAAATTTTTTTTTAATAGGACATTACACAATGAAAAATTTTATTTCAATTTATTCAATAATTGCCAATTTCATTATTTTTGTTAAAAAAAGATATGACGTGAGATATTGCATTATATTTTATATTACATTGAATATATATTTTATATTACATTATTTTACATTTGGTAAATGTTATGACAGCTTGTGGAATCGCGAAGTAATCTTATAATAACAAAAAAAAATCTCCATTAAATTACTGATATTCTTTCATGATAATTTTATTATATTATATGTTTGCATTCATCAGGTTGGAAGGCGAAGCGAAGAGTTTAGCGAAGCTCAACATGTGATGCGAGAATCAGTGGTGCAGCGCAGGGATATGACATTGATCGACAACGGTAGAGAGAGCACCACGCCTGTCGAGCCGACCAGTGGCCTTGGCGGTGAGTTTAGAGATAGCCACGATACATTACACAATAGCACAGACAGTACCACGTGCGTCGAACGCATCGAGTCTGAAGACGAGGATGACATCAACTCGAATGTCCGGATAACAGTTATCTACAACACTAGACTGTGAACGGAAAGTGCTTTATCGTGATAAATATCGCGACGCGAACAATTTTGCTCAATAAAATTTTGCTAGAGATTGAATATGGTTTGTAGAGAGCCCAGAGAAAACTTTCATCATAATATTAAGAAGTATGTTACTTATAAGACATGTCATACAAAATGATTTATTTACAGTAGTTCTATGCTGGAATGGTATTAATAGAATATTTTTTACAATATTAAAGTCACAGGCGGTATGTGTTAATCTGCACTGTTGCTTCAGAATTCAGATCATGCGATTAGGGAAATAGTTGGGAAAAAAATTTAAAAGTGTGTGTGTGTGTGTGTGTGTGTGTGTGTGTGTGTGTGTGTGTGTGTGTGTGTGTGTGTGTGTGTGTGTGTGTGTATTAAATTGAAAGTTAAATTGAAAAACTAAAATATATATGTTCCATATATATATTTTAAGCATATGCCATACTTAGAAAATCGATAAATCTGATCTGAACATTCTTTCTATCTTTTCATATATATGTTTATACTTAATAAATGTCTCAAAATTAACAAAGCCAAGTCTTACATAATGTAACACAATACACTCTATCCATGCATATAAATATCCTGCATTTTTAGAAATACTTTTAACACAATTAATATTATTCATGCTGTTCAATTTCATTATTAATTTTTATTTATTTTATGTTAAAATTCCTTATGTGTTATATGAAATAAAAGACATATTGCCCACAATTATTAAGTTATTATGAACCCTTGCAAAATACAATCGTTAATTTTTATTTCATTAATTTTGTATCATACTGAATAATTATATTCGCTATGCTTTAAAAATACAGGTGTTAATTTTTACATATAGATTAATTTTAACTTCGATTTTACTTTTTATGTTTTTTTAGTTCTAAGAGTAAAAAAAAAGTAAATTAAACTGAGATTAAAGTTAATCTGTACTGGTAAAAAATGAAATAATCATTCAAAAATATTAATATATATTTGTATATTAACTATAATGCGCAATAAACAAAATAATACTTAACAAAATCAATTTAATACTTGTGTGCTGCTTACATGTTTCGGCTCATTCATTCAAACCTGCATCAGAGCGAAGAAGGTTGAGAACGTAGTCGAACATAGATAAACAAGATTGAACAAACAATAGATTGAAGCTTAGCATGCATCGTGTTGTATACATTGATATAATACAAAATTAGTCAGTCTCCAAAATGCCATGCGAATATCATTTCCAGAAATTCCAGACGATTAAAAGACCGAGTAAAATAGAACTCCAGATATGCTATTATTAATAACATAACTGAACAAGGGAGAGAGGAGGAATGACAAGAAATTATAATTCCAAACGTGATGAAAGTAACTCACTATTGGCATTGTAAACGGCTTCATAGAATGAATAGAAACATGTAGAAATCGTAAAATATAATCGTAAAGTGTCGTGATAAAGTCATTGAAAGCTGTTTTGTAACTTATGTTGTAAAGAAATTCACTTGCACTCATTTGGATGGTTCTCACATTTTAATTTTGATGTGACACTTTTTATCAACATTCTTACCGAGATTTAGCTATGTAAATTAATAATTAATGAACAATAGTCCTTCATATCAAGAGACTGTTATTTATCTAAAGATGATTTTGTTTTTGCAGTTCAATTCATTGTTGAACTCTATCCGAAAGTTACAGTATCACTTACGTCAACAGGTACCTGGATAACATTTGTCCAAGTTATTGGAGATTGTTCCTCTTATTTTCATTTTTATGTAAAAATAAATTCTTAGTGCATTTTGGGTGCGATAATGTAACTTTCAAGTTCGATGATTCAATAAGTACTGATTAAAAAAACTAAATTGTTTTGGAAAGTTCACGAGATCAGTTATTAGATTCTGAAATAAAATAGATGTTTCATAAAAAAAATCGATATATCCTTGATCTAATGTTCAAAGTCAAATAGATGTAATCAGTAAATAGATCTTTTTAAACTTTGCAACTTTTGTTTGAATCATTTTTCTAAAAAATATTTTATTTTCGAGATATTTTTCACTGGTTCGGAATTTTTTATTTACTCTATATGTATTATATATGTAGGTATGTATGTATATATATATATATATATATATAGTTTTTATATCACAATAATCATTGCATGTATACTCTCATAACTGTACCACTCACCTTATCTCTGAAATCTGTTCGTAGGAAGTAAATTCTCCTTTGATCCAAGTCTTGATGAGGGCGCATCTCCCAATGGCTCTCGTCGGTCATTAGCCGAGACGTCGGTGACATCGACGGCCGATTTATCGGTATTCAGCTCGGTAACACGTTCCCAGGTCCTGGACAACAGTTTGGATACCCAGAGCAATATCTCGAATGGGAGCTCGGGCAGTGGCGGTCTGCCTACACCGCGGGCGACGCCGCATCAGCCCAGCCCAGACGTAGTGCGAATTTACGTGCCATACACGTCGCCTACGTATACATCGTCGGCGGTGGCTTCTTACAAGGATGATCTACCGCGCACACTGCCCCGTTCTCTGGACACCAACAAGATTCGCATTCGCATCGATCCAGACCAGACGCCTATCGTTGAGAATCTAAAGCCGTTCACACTCGAAAGTCCAGAAGTCGAGCTAGATTTGAAGTGAGTCGTTTGAGCTACACGCAAACGTGAAATCATAAATGATGTGCATACGATAGCTTGGTCCTGAAAGTCGCGCATTTGTTGTCAAGAGCGAGAGCAATATCATAAAGTTAATAATATTTGAGATATCTTTTTTTTAAGTAGTCGATTGGATATTGGATATTAATGTCGCCAAATATGATTAATATCATTCTAATAACTAATTCTTAACATATATTCAATGTATTTTCTTTTGCCTCTCTTAGGAAATAAAATAGCTAACTCAAGTTTCGCATGTCAAATATATGTCGAAGACTTAATATTGAACAAAAAACTGCATAAATCTCGAAATATGATTCTAAACATTCTCAAAAATAATGCGCGACTTCTGGCATACCCTGTGTACGTATGTTCTGCGATAAATCGCTCGTACATAACAAAAGAAACAATAACAAATACGAAAGCTTTTGCGTTAAATCTTAAGGAATTTCTTTATAGAAAACGTCAATTGATGAATTAAGATTTAGAAGTGAGAGAAAAATATACCGTTTCTAGAATCTTAAATACTTATTAATGATATAATCTTTGATATCCGTTGTTCTTATAAATTAAATTTCAATTTTAAAAAAAAGTTGTAAAGTTGTTTAAGAATTAATTGTATCTCAATTTTAGAGAAGATCTATAAAAATCGATAATTACAACTTACAAAGGTTCAAATTGAAAATCTTAAATGTTTCAATTTAAAAGATGTTAAAAGCGAAATAGACTTTATAATATTTCAATTTAAGAAAATTGAAATGAACGAAGTATTGTCGCTGCATTTGGCCTAATTTAGTTTTATGACATACGCATTGTACGCCACATAGTATTTTTCCAGACACAGCAGGAATAAACGAAGCAATGCATCCCTGATATTGATGCTTAGATAGGATTACGACAAAACAGAAAAAAAAGGATGCAATTCTCTTCACATAACATTACAATTTTAAGTGAAATAGGCGAATGATAAAATATTTATGTATATATCAATCTTTTCGCATTATAAATTTCAGATTATAAATTCGTAATAAAATAAATAATTTTTAGAATTGTGAAACAGTATTTCATTCCAATGTTAATGTATTTCGAACACAATTATATTCATATATTTAAATTAATTTGAAAAACAACAAATACTTGTACAAAAATATACTATCATTAGTCTGCACACAATCAAATGCATCTTCGTGGAATTTCTCTCAATATTATTATATTGATGATGCTTAGCTTGCTGTATTTTATTAAACAATTTGCATGAAAAAAAGATTCTTATTTTCTATTCTATCGTAATCCTATTATTTGGTATATTATTATTCTAAGGGAAGATAGATAATGCTACGTCTATTCATATTATGTCCGTAGGTCTCCTATATTTGTCACGCAGTCTTATTTATAATTATTTCGTTTTGATTTCTGAAAGAAAAAAGAACGTTATTACAATATATTGAGTTGCTATTAAGAATTAAAACGGATTCTGCTGTATATAAAATAAAGATGTATCTAGAGGCAAATTCATTTTTTTACAACTACTATAAAGAATTGAGTTCCGTTAGATAGGCATCTATATACAATATATAATCGATAATATAAATTTCGATAAGCTTTAATATAACCGAATTTTATAACGTAGCTATATAAGAAAATAGATTTGTCTCTGGATGTGAGTCCACTAAATATTTCTGATCAGCATCATTTGTCACGTTTTGTTTACATTAAATCTACAATAAAACTTCGTTGACGATTGATCTTACGGTAACTGTATGCTGATAAACGAATTAGTAGAACAATGGTAGAGAAATGTATACTATTTATTTATACGTTCACGAGCTAATTATATCTATCTGTCCTCAAGAGGGAAAACTCATACTATTAAGTATTATGCTGCCTTGGTAATATTGACATGTTTCTTTGTCAGTTTCTTTCTTATTTTTTCATTTTTTTTGTAATTCGTATGTTGTAAGAAAAATAATACTTCTGTATATATAAATAATATTTAACGAGTGAGATGGAAAAAAGAAATAAGACTTTATGTCAAAAAGTGAATGAAACTCCTCGGATGTAGTCATATTCAAACTCTTCGTCATAGAATGTGAATACTGAACAGCTTCCGATTATTGTGCCGCACTGAAAGTATTTGTATTATTTGATTATGAGCCATCACCTTTGGATGTATGCACCTTGATTTCAATTTCGCCAACATTCCTGAAAGCGCGCGCAATATCCTCGATGTACATAACCTTGTGGATAAAGAGTCTGAATAAAAAAAAAGTTATTCCCATGCATAAACATGAACTCATCAAACAATTATTATATCTAATAATAGCATAAGAAGCGATGTAGATTAAAAATAATATTAAATGTTGATCGTCCGAATCTTTATCACGTTAATACAAGAACAGGTTCATAGGATAAAAATCTTCTATCATAAGTTCCTCTTATTATTTTCGACGTGATTTATGACAATTATAACAACATGGTGACCTTATACTTTTGATTAGTTCAGCGAAAGAAAAGATTTCTCGACTGCATGAGAATGAAACATTACATTTCAGATTTATTCAGATACGATCTTCATACATTATATTTTTTTGAGCTAGATCGTCTAATAGAGACTAACTTTTATTGACATTATAAAATAATGCAATATATCTTGCCAGGCTATGACATAAATAATGTAACTAAAAGAAAACAGAGAGATTGGTATGATCAAATTGAAGATAAAATTTACAAAATTATTTCAAGAATAAGTGCATAATTTATTAAAAAGGGAATAAATAACAATTCTCCGTTTATTACTATGTAAGTACTGTTTACTACTATATTTGATAAATATTATTAGGCAGTAAGAATTTTAATTATGTCTTCATTTATTTATATTGTATTTGAGACGTAAAAAATATTAATTTATAGAATAAAACTGATTAAAAATATAAAAATTTTCTGTGTGTAGCATATTGATAAACTCGAAAATTTCAAGCCTCGCGTCTTACCACGATCCCCTGATCTCCAAGGGAATAATATTTAGTCTAATTTTCCTCAGGACACTGCTCTACAAGTTAAATCTAAAATAAATAATTAGAAAATCATTATAAAATGGTAATAATGTAAATATATAAAAACTCTAATTTTCACAATAAAAATTGACGTTATTTACATTGTTATCATTTTGTAATAACATTTTTCTAATATCTTTTAAATTCAATCAGAGCAGTGTTCTGAAGAAAAGAAAAACTGCTAAAAAATAATACACAGTGCTTCTTTGGAAGTCATAGAAGTTACGGTAAAACTTGAAATTTCCAAGCTCGTCTTCAATGGCGCACACAGAAAAACTTAATAAGTTTCCTATTCAATAATTCTTATTAAAATAAATTTTTTCTCTAAAAAAAAATTTGTTCTATCTCTTCCGTTGTTGGTGAATACGAAATAAAAACGAAAAGTGGGTTTTGAAAAAGTCAATTTTCAAAAGTTGATTTTACCTCAGAATGAATTGGGGCAACAAAAAAAATTATTACATGTCCGGATACTTTCTGTATATTGCTAAAGTTTCATAATTTTCTGAATATCCGAGTTGGATCTTTCCTTTTAAGTCCAATTCTAAGAACTTCATGTTGTTTCTTTGTACAAACTATTAGTCTGTGGACTGCCATTTCGTAAGTACAGCTTTTATATGAATCAAATGTCACAACGTGACAGCTCTAGTCTAGACAGTTCAGATAATCTGTGTATTGAACTATAAAAAATAGTAAAAAGATCTCAATTTAAAAATTTTTTATCATTTTCGGTATAAACTCCACAGACACGTATATATTTTAATCTTAGAAAAAATTTTTGAATCTGTAAAAGAGGAAAAAAATAGTTGTTATATAAATATTAAACCGATTAGTCGATAATACAGATGGCTTTAGGATCCCCTTAACTATCGGGAATGTTTAAAAAAACGTATGGATCGTTATGCTGAACACCTTGTGCGTGTGTGCGTGTGCATATATACATATGTAATGATTATAATATGACGAATGCAATACTCATCGAAATCTTATCAATTATCGAAGAGGGGTAGAGAGAAGGCCACATAAATCAATAATTAATTGTCGAAACAAAGTCTAATTGTCAATATAGCAAAAATATATATCTCACTTCTTCCAGCATCACTTTTTTTTATTACACAACTTTATTCGATGTGTTGTAATTTATTTATTTTTATTTACAAGTACTGTATTGCATATGTGATCTGGATGTAGGATCGATCAAGGTGATTATGTAGACGCAAATGTGTTATTTATTTTTTTTCTTAAAAATTAGATTGAAAATCATAACGTGCGTGCGTGTGTGTGTGTGTGTGTGTGTGTGTGTGTGTGTGTGTGTGCGTGCGCGCGCGTGTGTATGCGCGCGCGTGCGTGCGTGCGTATATGTGTGTAATAAGAAACATCTATTAATCTCGTAATCATTATAAATGCACATTGAAGATTTAATGAATGTTGACTTTCTCATTACAAAATGTTGCAATGATATTTAATTACGATTACCTTTCAACTACAGTCATCTCGATTGATCCTAACTGGATTTATCTTCTTTTTTCTATTATTTTGTATTGATAATGACTTTTGATCTTACAAGAATGTTTAGTGCACGCAAATTCTTGTACGATCTTGCTATATAAATTCGTTGAAACCAAATTTTCTCTTTTTTCTTTTCCCTTTTATATGGCTGTATCTATACACTGTATAAATAAATCGTCAAATGAACAATTGGTCGACACTTATTTGGTTTATAACAAACTCATTTGGCTTTCAAATAGATTGATCTAGCTTACTTTAAGACACTCATTACGAACTAGGCTGATAAAAGTTATTGCCCATAATTGGTATCAGCTTGCCATTCAACAGCATTTGCGGTCCAGTATAGTAACGCCATAACAGACTGCTGCCTCTCTTCAGCTGATTATGAGTCGACAGATGAGTCCAACAATGCAGCCAGTTCTTATAGATCGGCATGTATGGTGGAAGACCAGCTACCAATCTTGAACAATTTTCATGAACGTATTAATTTTACCATGAAATATCAGATTTTCTTAATTCAATCGGTCTTATTTTATTTTGTAAAGGACAAAGTAATATCATGGCATTTATCTTTTGTAACTTCTAGATTACATTTATAATGTCTAACTTTTAGACTACATTCTAAAACGTTCTCTCTAAGGAAAATTTTATTCGAAACACATATATATATAATATATATGTGTTTCGAATAAAATTTTATAGTATGTAATATAGTATATTATATCAAGTAAAATTTTCTTTGAAGAGGAATTTTTGAATGTAGCCTTAAAATATAAAACTTTTTATTCAAACTTTTTAATAAAAATTATTTTAAAAATTATTTTTTAAAGTATGAAGTGTGCATACATATGTATAATTTTTAATATTTAAAATCTAAAATCTCATAATTGTCAATTACTTTTAAGAAAATACATTTACAATAAGAAGAAAAAATAAAATGAAAAGAAAAAATTATGTTAATCTTCAATGAACGTATTGGACATGAGATTTTACTTACCCGCAGTCATTTACTGTCATGCAGTGAGATACCACTAAGAACGGGTACATAACAGTTGTAGCTACAAACTATACAAATATTTTATTTTAACATGTTTAAATTTTATTATATGAAATATTTAATGCATTAGTTTTGAAACGTTGTGTCAATAATACATATCGGAGCATATTCTCTTTGAAAAATATTGAAATTTTGCGCTTACTTTCATGGTTGATGCAGTATATGGCTTCATCGCTGGCTCCTGTATAACGTAATTGTTTATAGCGTATGTAGAGATGCCAGTTAAAACTATAACTGCAGCACTTCCTATTATACGCGGTATCAATCCTGCGTAATAACCTAGGATCCCATTCTCCTTGTAAATCTCCAGGAACGAACCAAATAGGCTACTAATGGTAAGAATATGATAAATTTTACGGTGACAAACGAATCGCCCAGAGAAGAATACAAATTTTTTTCCAGAAATTTACATTCAAAATTTTCTCTTCAAAATTAACAAATATAAATGCGATTATATACATATTTTGTCTTTATTTCTTTATTTCATTTTATAAGTGCATATTATATATATAAAAACAGATTTTAGCATTAATTACTGAAATTTTCGTAAAAAATTTTCAATATTGTCCCTTATTAATTATTTTCTCTTTCTATATCACGTATATTTTATAATTGAAGATCAAAAGATTTATATATACAATACACACATTCTTTCTTTGGAAATCTAAAAGGATATGCCATTTGTTATATATATATATATATTTATTTATACCTATATTTTGTCTCTCTACCCACAAATTGTGCCATCATCCTTAATGAAATGACTTCCAAAGGATGACTAACTATGATCGCGACTGTTCTACTGATCACATCCCTGATGATTTCATTCATGCATCTTTTACGTCTACAAACAGAAGAAATTATTAATTCATTATTCATATTTTTCTCCTTTCCCTTAACACATACCTCACTGTCTCATCTCCATCATCTTCATCCTCATTCTGTTCCACTGAGTTCGACTGTAGATATTCTAAAGTCTTGTCGCACGCTATTGTACTTATTGTGTAGGAACATACCTTGGGTACTAAGCCTCTATAGCAGCCTGTAAAGCCATCCAAGCTCTTTATGTGTTTAACTGCAAGAAATAACATTTTATGTTAAACAGAGAAGTATATAATAAAATAATATTAAGTAGAAAATTTAAAGTAGAAAAAGGGATGCACTAGATATCCATGCAAAATTGTTGGAGGAAGGAAGAGGGGAGGGGAATATCTAATTTCTGGCAATATATTCAGCCTAAATTTTATGTTGAAATGACATGTATGATAAGATTATCTTAATAAAAATTTTTATTATCACTGATATGATGTTTTAGAAATATTACACTATATTTCTAAAAAATACATCAGTGATAATAAAAGTTTTTAAATATTTTATAGCATCATACATGTCATTTCAATATAAAATTTTGGCCTGATATATTGTCAGAAATAAGATATCTGATAATCCTTCCTGGATGTTTAGTGCTTCCATAATAGAAAAGATAAAACAATCTCCTAAAAAATATTTCTAAGTTTTAAATTAGGATTATACTTACTATATGTAAAAGCATTTGGTAGTTTCAATGCAGGCTTTCCAAACAATGTTACAGTTGGTTTGGGTGGAATAGGCTCATATCCGATCTAAATAATAAAACAAATATGTGACTGTTTTTCTTTAGATAACAGTATTATATCTGTATGTATTGTTTGTATCAAAATTTTTAACTAGCAGAAATACATCTTTACCTGGATCAAAACCTTAGCATATTCAATAGGATAGGAGATTGCATTTACTAAAATGCGACCGGCTATATCAGACCACAGGATCTCTGTGTCTTTTGAGGTATGCTTTAGAGGCATTCTTGGCAAATTCCTAGATTTTCTTTTTTCTAGGGGGAACATATGTATTACATAAAATCAATAGAAGTTTAGTCAGGAATTTTCATCTTATAAAAACGCACCAATTCTCATTGTTTAGAGTCACAAATTGATATCACAATTTCTCTTCTCCTGGTTCCCACCTACTTCCTCACGAAACTCTGTGCGCTAACAGAAGAGATAACTATTGACGGGATTTTAAAAGACAATCGGAATTAGCGTTGTTGCGATACTCTCGTCTATTTTTTATTACAAATCATCAAGTGTCCCTTTCACAGTCATTATGGCGCTTGTTTCCCTGCGAACACTTCTGTTCCTTATACTCTGTATGTAAGGTCGAGTTCAGCCGAACAAGCGTTCGGAAATAAATGTTAAGAATACACTGTTCACTTCAAATCTTGATAAAATATACTCAAGCGATGTGTTTTAATGTAAAAATTAAGATTGGACAAGAAAAAATGCTGCTCTATTTCGTGAACTGAGATATTAATAAACGACTATTAAGGTTAAGAAATTTATGAAATCACAGCCACAAAATATTACAATATGAACGTATAAACCATAGATGGCATAGACACGGAGATGTCAGATTCAATTGCACATACCTACTTCACAACAGCCTATTCCTAGTAATTTTTCACTGTTTCACCAATGACATTATATTACATCTATTGCGTTGCATGTACTTTTTGCATCAGCATCTTCGCTTTCTCTCTTTTCAATGTCCAAATATATATCTATCTTATTTTAAAATAAAAAATTTTGAGGGATTTTAGATAACGTGAATGTAACGTATACCATAGTATGTATTTCTCTAGTTTTTCATTTCTTTATTTTCTTTTCAAGAATAGAGACTCTGGACCCCTATTCTTATGTACATATGTATATAATATATGTAATATATTTTATTTGGAATTAAAAATCTGTTTTATCGACATCGATCGTTCGGCCGTCGTTTCAAGCATTCCCTTAACTCTTAACCTCCAAGGTTAACCTACTAAGAACTAGTCAAGTATCTGGAGGATCAAGTGAGGTTTGGCCAACCGATGCGGCCTATAATTTGTAAGAGAATCTCGTTAAATTATTTTTCTTACCTTGTTGCACTTTGTTACATTATTTTTACTTCTCACAGTTTTATCGAACTGAGTTTGCGCAAGTTTATTGTGACGAAAAAACAAGATAACTTGGATAGTTTCTCGCCTTGAGTAGAATTTTTTTTTATGCCTGTTTATATCAATGTAGATTAATTCAAGAATTACAAAAAAAGCCTATAAATAGTCAATACAATTATTCATGCCTAAATTTAATGTTTATTTGCAATTATTAGGCATTTTCTAGCAAGAATACAGTGTAACACTGAATTATTTCCTCCTTATTTAACATTGGCAAACAACAAGAATTTCATAACACTTGCAACTGGCTGTGTTGCGTTCAAGAAAGTAGCTTTGCAACTATTATGAAATTCTTTATGATTTATTTATATACTTACAATTAGATCAAATGAGGAAGTAAAGTCAGTCATATTAAAGAATTTTATTTAAAAAATTATGAAACTGCGTTATCTGCTGAACATATGTCTGTTTCATAGCTGAACTAGTTCTATTTTTGGAATTTAAAATGAGATGTATGTTAAAAGAGAGATAGATATCTAGTAAAAATGAAAAGGATAATTCTAGTATAGGACTTGATAATTAATTGTCTTATAATGTCCTTGCTGAAAAACACCTAATATACATTATTTTAATATACATAGGAATAATCATTGTAAATGTTCAATCCAGATTTGAGTCCTTGGATGATTTTAATCTTGGCTAATATATTTTTTATTTCTTTTTTAGTTCTAAGAATTAAAGAAAGATAAAGTGTAAGCTGAAATAAGATTACAGTTAATTTACATTAGTATTTGTTATTAGAATCCTGTAAATCTTATTCCCTGTCTATTTGATTTTCACCTTTTGAATTTTTCAGTTTGATGGCCTCTGCTATTTTCACAACTGTCTGGATTTCGGTTAAGCGAAACTTCGTCAGCGTGTTATTTCCTACATTTACGGCGCTTGCGATTTACGTGGATCTGAGGCATACAGCTCGCTGGAAGCACCAACTTGCTGAACAGCAGGACAAGTGAGACTACGCTGAGACATGAGTCTACTTCAGAGTTTGTCATCGCACAAGCACGTCTGGAAGATGTACTGGACTCTCATCTTTCCGTTCGCAGGTTTTATGATCGGTCATAAGCTAGATAAGATGGAATCAGAGAGGATGACAACATTTAGGGACAAATCAGCATTATATGGCAGAGAGTTAAAGCCTGGGGAGCCACCTTCCTGGCCATATTAGCTATCCTTATTATACATCGTTCAAATCTTAAGAAATAGCAGAATCAATTAGTGCTTGTTAAGTTAATTAAAAAATAAATATGTTCAAATGAAAAGATACAGATGTTATATAGATGTTTCATTAATATACACGTGTAATCTAAATTAAATGACGAAAGAAAGAAAAAAAATATATATATATGTGTAATCAGTTTCATTTATTGGTAACAATGCGATATAAGTGATAAATATATATATAGGATTGCCATGTTACGTATTTCTATTAGAATTATATTTACATTACGCATTTATTCGATAATCACTAAGAATACTATTCAGGATAAATAGAGAGTACATATAAAATTATTTTGTCAACATAGCAAATCCAATATATACACGAACTTATATAAAAATTACATTATATTTACACATATATTTATATATATTGAACAGAGATCATCACGAATATTCAGAGATCTTCATAAGCACGAAATAAAACTTGCATTACATTAGATTAATACATATTAAAAACTGCTATATTTGAAGTTAATGAAATTAAATGTTAAAAGCATTTAAATATTTTAAACAATGAAGTGCCCAATAATGATATTGTTATGTTATTTAACAAAATGTTTTCTTTTATTGTCAAAGTTTAAATTATGCCATTGTATTTAGATATTTTGTAATTATATGAATTACAATTAAGGCTTAGAATTTCAAATTTGAGAAAGAAAAAAAATCGTGATGAGCCATATTGGTACGCAAAAATTTGTTTACAATTTATTTTAATATACGTAACTTAATAGATGTCAACTACTTTTTTGGTCTTCTTCAGTATAATATAATAATAAATCGAATAGAAGTAGTAAGATGATTAAGTGAATTGCGCAAATAAGAAATAATGTTAGAAGTAAAATTCCTGTGCTATATTATGAGATTAAGGTCGTCGTCTTAAAACAGTTTTTAATATGTATTAGTTCAGTGCAATGCGAGTAATTAAAGTAATGCAAATGATCAATAATAACTATTATTATTCTCATTTTAGTATGTTATTAAATACCATTGGTATGGAGGTGCTAACGAAATAGAGGGAATTTTTTCGACTTTTTCTTCGTTTTTTTCTTGGCTTTATAGATATTGCACACGACGTTCTCCTTATTCTCAATCGATTTAGTCTCTGAATTATACATCTGGTGCTTTTGCATCCATTTGTCCGTTTCGCTTGTCCAAGACACCGGCCTATCCTTGAAAGTGTTGGCTTGATCTCGATGGCTGTATCTCTCGCCAGTTTCCAAATTAAGATAAGAAGACAGCTTGTCTTTATTATTACGTTCTGCCTTGCCTAGAATATCATCAGGAATACCATCTATGGGTCCGTAATTCTGAAACCTTGTCTCCTTCTCCTGCAAAGCGCATATGTTATCGCTAAACTTCCGAAAAATTTTCTTCTCTTCGATCATGTGCTCGGGTTTCTCCTCAGCTACTCTTTGCAGTTTTCCTGGGATATCTTTGTGTCTGGTCCATCGCTCGCTTACTGATCTTGTGAACGCATGTGGCTTCTTATAAAGCATTGGATTAAACAACTCCGACGTTTGTATGTTAAATGTATCTACGCTGGCGGCTGACAATGATGAGTTTAAGTCGTCGTAATTCATCGTAGGACGCTCTTTGTACTTTATAGTAGCATATGAATGAGTCTTCGAAGAAAAAGATTTTTTCAAGAAAGAATCTGGACGCATCAAATGCTTTTCCTCCTTTTTTTCGTATGGATTGATAATAGATTGAAGATTTTTTGGGATCTCTGCTTTTTTTAAAATCTCTATTTTTTGAGGAATTTGTATTTTTCTCGGAATTTCTTCTTTTCTTGAAATCTCTTCTTTTTTCGGAATTTCTTCTTTTCTCAAAACAACTTCTTTTTTCGGAATCTCTTCTTTTTTTGAAATTTGTTCCTTTTTCAGAATATCTTCTTTCTTTGAAATATCATCTTTTCTCAGAATTTTCTCTTCTACAAGATTATTAGGTTTCTCAATATCGTATAAAATTTGTGCCGCTTGTTCCAGTGTCTTTTCCACTACCATGTCTTTTTGGTATTTTAGCTGTTGCTCTATCTGTTTCATTTTATCATTGAGAAGTCTCTCTGTGATCCTTAGTTCTTTCTCTTTTCTAAATAGCTCCCTCTCTCTTTTTTGCAGATTTATTTCCTTTTCCCGTAAAATGGTTTCACGATTCCTTAAGATCTCAATTTTGTGCAACCAATTTTCTCTGAAGATCTCCTCGCTAACTTCTTCAGGTGATGGGATCGATGCGGTACAGCCATTCTTGTACCCGTGACGGCAGAAATTGTTCAGCTTGGAATCCAAGGAGTTCTCACTTCTCTCGTCAATCGACATCAAACTGTTCGTCCTGCTAAATTGTTTCGCAGGATATAATGATTCCTGTGGTCCAATTGATGCTTGAAACTCCGTTTTTTGTACACGTTCGTTAAAACGACAAGAATTCGCATTGTTATAATATTTAATGATATCGTTATCTAAATGTTCGTCGCGTAGAATGTCATTCTCGTTCGTTATGCCTTTCACGAGTTTTATACCAATCAATGTGCTATCTTCAGTGGAAAACTTCGTGGTTTCTTCGTATTTATTATTTGAAGCGAGCGACGTATCTTTCTCGTTTTGCATACTGTTCTCAAATATACTTTCGCTCTTGATATCAAATTGATTTGTAACCTTGAGATCATCTATCTCATTAATTATTGATAAGTTCTCCATTCCAGGCACAATATATGTCTCAACTTTGTACAAAATTGGTTTCTTCATGATTGATATTGCAATACGTTAATATCTTTCAAACTTTCAGAAGATTATGTCATAAATTGTCAAACTCTCCCAGAAGATTATGTATATGATGATTGATCATTTCTGCAAATAATAGATATTTATTTATTAAAAATAATAAAATATATGTGCATACATACACATATACACACATAAACAAGGTAATTCCCTGTAATTTGAAGTTCGCATGCTTATACTATCATATGAACTATAAAACTTTTATATCAAACAAACTTTAACTTCAAGCGACAGCTATACACAGTAAAAATATTTTGTATTTATATAAAGATTATGCGTTTCGCGGGTTTTCTCCGTGTTCAGATCCATTCTTGAAATGCCAACGTTTCGTGAACCTTGCAGTCCACCTCATCAGGGCGAGGAGCAGCCTGATACTGTCAGGCTATACGGTATCAGGTTGCTTCTCGCTCTGATGAGGTGGACTGCAAGATTCACGAAACGTTGGCATTTCAAGAATGGATCTGGACACGGAGAAAACCCGCGAAACGCATAATCTTTATATAGAAAGCACCCCATATAGGAAGTCTCAAGAATATTATTTTGTATTTATGTTATATTAAAATGAATCTTTGTTAAAATTTTTGTATTGAATTTTTAATCAGAGTTTTAAACATAATATGATTGCCTTATTTGAATATTTTGTGTTACATTTAAATTTAACATTTCTCAGTGTTAAAATGACACAATTTGTAGATAAGTAAAGAAATAATAAACATAATATAGTTTTAAAACATAAATTCTAAGAATAAATGATAAAATGTGTTGATTTAATATATTATAAATGTGAATTTTACTGAAGAAATATGTTTTATACAACTAGTTATATATATTTTATATCTAAAAAGATATTTGTGTTTTCTCTTTATAACAGTAAATATCTGTTAAATTTATATATTACATATGTTAAATATCACAGAGGCATTACCTCTGTGAAATTAAAAATGTGACAATAGCATCTAATTTTAGTTAACTTTAATATTATAAACGTGTCAATTTAATATAAAATTTGTTTTTAAATTGTGTCAAAGTATTACGCTTCTTGTATTAAGTTTTTACATAACATTTATGTTGCTTTCTATTCATCTCACATTAAATTAACATAAAATTTTTTACTGTGTATAAGCCAAAAATAATTGAATTTTTAAATTTTTCTTTCATTTTGTTATGAAATCGATATCCGGACTTTCTATTTATGTGTCTTTTAATTTTGTAACAAATGCAAAATAATTTTTCAATCTGTAAAATCAATTTGAAAATTTCAGTTGCACTGTAATTCATGAAAATTGACGCGTCGCTCTAACGTCCCCCTAACTTTTAGAATCTTAGAAAACGTCTTGGCAAACATTACAGAAAAGGACAAAATTAAAAACGAACAATAAAAGAAAAGATTACACATTTGTTTTTAAAAAATTTATGTTTTCGTGTGTGTGTGTGTGTGTGTGTGTGTGTGTGTGTGTGTGTGTGTGTGTGTGTGTGTGTGTGGACTTAATATATAAATATACACGATTTATTAAAATGCAATTGTTGTAACATACCAGAACTATCGTAATCCAAATGACTTCCAGAAAGTGCGTGTAGCGTGGTGTCTGCATTTAAACTGAGCTTTCACTTATAACGTTCGGTCGAAGCGAAGTGGTGAGTCCACAGGTATACGAATTCTGTGTCTCCGTCGTATAGCTGCAACGTGATTTGCTGAAGCCGTTTTTAAATCCCAGCTATAACGCTGAATGGTATACTGGTATTCTACCTGAGTCTTCTACTACACATATGAAACGTAAGAATGCATGTATTCCTTTATGGAGGGATACAAAAGACGGGATCATAACAAAAATAATGTCAGTTAAATAGAATAATAGAATGAAATTTATACGAATTATGTATAGTTACATTGTCAAAATATTGAAAAAGATTGATGGGACATTCGAAAATTTCGAAAAATTGAAAGAAAAATTGGAATTTGTAACAATTCTTGTTTACATAGAATGATAAAAGAATTAACAATATAAGATCAAATAATAAATGCTATTAAAAAATGATTTGTTACTTTAAAATAAAAAGTAGAAAGCGATATAATATGTTACTTATCTTTTATTTACATATTGGTCCGAAATTGATGAATTTTTAAAAAAATGTTATTGAATAATAAAAACTAATTTTTTCCAAGATTTACCTATTTATATTTTTATTCACATTTCTCTCTCAATCATTTAACAATCTTTTTAAAAGTATACTAAATATATTAAATATACTAAATATTCTAAATATACTTTCAATATACTAAAATGTTGAAATTCAACTTCTTTGTATTCTTTCTATTCTTGTATTCTTCCACGCAGCGTACATTTGAAAAAAATTTCAGTG